ATTTTTTTCCTGTGGTAAAATTGTCTTTTAACTCTCCCAGGTCCTGATGAGCACCACTGAGCATGTTCAGATACTTTAGCATCCTGATGTGAAGAAAGAACAAACGAACCTCAGCCGCTGTGGTTGCTTGTGTACAAGCAAATGCCTGTGCAATGTGGTTTCCTTGGTTTGGACACTTGGGACCATGGTTTCGCGGGAGATTCCAATTAATTGACCTAATATCGTGCTTAATGCTTCTGTTCTGCCTCCCAGTCCATTGCTTCATATGTCTCTAAGTTCATTGTTTAATGCCTGAGCTCTTAAAAGTTTGCAAGCACTCATCCAAGGTACAACACTTAGTATGTATTTGCTTGTAGCAACAGAGCAAGAAAGATATTTCAGGAATAGAAGGAGGACATGTATAGATCTGTTATTTCCTTTCTAAACAATTGCTGCCTATTTTTTGCCATGAGACCAGAACTGCATGATGCCTGGCTACCTTTAGTAAACCTTTTTATCAAAGACTTTATAGAAGAATCCTGGCCACAAGGGAGAAATTGGAGGAAAGATTCTCCTGGAGCGCAGGCTTTGTGGAGCTGTGGAAGCTGGATGGACCCCTGGAACTGCTGATTGAGATACTCTTTAAACCTTGAACAAAAAAATATCCTGAAAGGCATCTTAAAAATCAAGTAGTAATCTGGCTCAGCTGGTAAAGCGAATTTAATTTTTTAAAAGACCTCTCTGGGATCAAATTGACAACAGCAACTTTTAAGATTGATCAGAAAGGAAGTTTAGGGGCAGTGAGTTTGTATAAATGGGGGAGAAACAGTTCAGAAAAGGAATGTGGAAATGGACACACAGCTTGAATAGAATCAGTGTCACTGGATTGTAAAGTAATCAATGAATTAGTTTATGTTCTGTTTATATCTTCAACAAAAATAAATTTAAAAAAATGACCAAACCAAACAAAAAAGGATCGAATTGTTCTTTTTTTTTTTTTTAAAAAAAAGATGTTTTCAACTTTTAATTCTTTATAAAACTATTTCTTGTTACATGTAAAAATTCTTGAAGGTCTTTATATCTATGACTGTGCTGCAGTAGCTTTTTCTCAAATACAAGACCTTAAAGATATTTCAGATCACCTCACTGTGTCCCCCACATATCTATGGCCATCTATCTCATGCATACCTCTACTGTTTATGAAACCAACTTGCTAAAATACTATTATTATTGGTTAAATAAGGTTGCCAGGGGTCACAAACTGTGGCTGACTCTAAGAAGAATGGGAATCTCAGAACACTTGATCGTGCTAATGAGAAACCTATAGTTGGACCAAGAGGCAGTCGTCAGAACAGAGCAAGTAAACACTGCATGGTTCAAAATTGGGAAGGGCGTGCTCCAGGGATGTGTCCTGTCTCCATACCTTTTCAACCTGTACGAAGAACAGATTATCCAAGAGGCTGAGCTCTGTGAGGAGGAATGTGGGCTCAAGACTGGTGGAAGATCTATCAACAATCTGCAATATGCAGATGACACAACCCTGCTTGCTCAAACTGAGGAGGACCTGAAGCGCTTGCTGCAGAGGGTCAAGGACTGCAGCCTCAAATATGGATTGAGGCTCAATATCAAGAAGACAAAGATTCTCACCACTGGGCCAATTGGCAGCATCAGGATGGATGGTGAAGAGATTGAGATTATTCACAGCTTTAGTTTGCTTGGCTCCACAGTCAACACTCTCAGCACCAGTAGCCAGGAAATTAAAAGACATATTGTGATGGGAAAGTCTGCTGTTAGGGACCTCTCTAAAGTACTGAAGAGCAGTGGTGTCTCTATCGAGACTAAGGTGCGTCTGATACAGGCCATGGTCTTTGCAGTAACTTGCTATGTGTCAGAAAGTGGGACATTGACGAGGGAGGATAGAAGGAGAATTGATACCTTTGAGCTGTGGTGCTGGAGAAGAGTATTGAGAATACCATGGACTGCTAGGAAAACAAACAGATTCATCCTGGAAAGGGTCAAACCGGACGGCTCCTTGGAAGCAAGGATTCTGAGGCTCTGTCTAACATACTTTGGACATGTTGTAAGGAGAGACTGGTCCTTGGAGAAGGACATCATGCTTGGTAGGGTGGAGGGACAGCGCAGGAGGGGAAAGGGTGGATTGATTCAGTGACTGGGGCAATTGGGATGGGTGTATTGGAAATGGTGCGATTGCCACAGGACAGAGTGGAGTTTAGGGCTGTTGTACATAGGGTCAGTGAAGAACAGTGAGCCATGGTGGCTTAGTGCCAAGGTACGCGGTTTGATTCCACCAGATGCTCTGCCGGAGGTAGATGGGCGGCCTCCTCCTGTGTGTAAACCCACCAGAGGGTCAGCTGTGGCTTGATTCTGACTTGGTGATAAAGAACAAGAACAGTGAGGAATAGGTAGGATGTGGTAGCTTCCACCCCTTTCTGTCTTCAGTCACAAAGCCTCCTCTCCTTTCTTACAGACTTGGGCCTGATACAGCATCACTGTTTTGTTAGCTTGCCTCTACAATAATTCTCCTCCTTTTAAACTCTCAATGCTCAAACACAATACCGAGCATTTTTTTTCTTGCAATAGATGCTAATTGTGTTCTTCTTTGGGTCTTGCTGTCATAGCCACAATAACTGTCATTGTGCCTGAGTGGCCCATTCACAGTAGTTATTGTGCAGAATAATGAATGCTGTTTACTTGTGATTCCGAGTTGCCTGCATCTGTGGGTGAGAACACGCAGTCACTGTAATTTGCCTGGCAAAGGATCAAACTGGTATAAAATAACATCATCTGTTAGACAAGTTATGGGTCACAAAGACCTATTGATTTCTTTTTAAATCTAGAACTTTTAATGAAAAGATTAGAACAGTAAAGATTTAGGAGGTGAGAACAGCTGCCTCGTGTGTGCTGCATGCTAACCCCTGCTTTCTTGGTGTATTTTGGGTTTCGGTTTCCAGGCCTAGAAGTGCTGGAACCTGTGGTGGTTATGGCACCCACTGTGCCCTGGCTTGTACAGGGAAGAGCTGCTTAACTCAGGAAATTCCATGTTGGTTAAGTACAGTAACTCGTATCAAGTTGGAGTTAGACTTCACAGCACTGTCTCCCTTTATAAAGCACAATCATTCTTTCACCTGCATAAGGAAAAAGTCTTTTTCTTTTAAACCACTGGCAGAATGTACGGGCACAAGAATCCTTTATAAAGTAAAAGGAAACATTTTCTTAAATAACCTTGATAGTGTTTTGCAAGAATCTTCAGTTTTGAAACAGTTTGTGGTCTTGACCATCAACATAATTTCCCTTTTTCTCCAGTCGACTATTTGCCTTTCAGCTGTTTGACTGCTTAACAAAATTGCTTATTAAAAGTCATTTGGGAAAAGCATTCTAAAGCATCCTTTTAATACTTATTTCCCCAAGTCATGTCAAACTTCCAATAGAAATCAAGTTATTGATGAGAGTGAAATTTAACCAATTGCACAAGCTTAAATTGTTTGTATGGATTTATATGCACAGTCATGCACATAGATCCCCTTTTTGCTGCTTACTACATGGGTAAAATTATTGCTTTTCAGAAAAATAGATTTTGGCACAGCTATTTATATCCTGTGAAGGGCAAGTAATGATGGAAGCGGATGTTGGTTAACATAATCTTATATGTATTTTTATTTTTGTAAAAAAAAAAATCATGCCTTTTTTCTCTCTGGCAAATCAGCATTTGCTTCTGTGTAGCTAACTGCTGCTGTTTTCTGCTTCTGTGACAGCTAGCCGATGGCGGAGTCTCTTCTCTTCAACTGTCTCCCTGGCTTTTCCTTATAGTCCTGTTGCAAGACTCAGCCCTTATAGCAATGGCATTAATACTCCCAGCTTCTCTAAAACCTCAAATAAAGCAATACTAACACCTGAGAAAACAGGTAATATTTCAACTTCTTAACTAGCTGCTTGCTTTGTAATTCTTGTCACTAAACACAGCTTACACATTCATCTTTCATCAAAAGCCTGAATACAATATTATGAAAATGGAGTTTCTGTGGTGTTCACTTGAGTTCAAAAGGGATCAACATGAATTTGTACTATAATGTGGTTGTATCTATTGCTTTCAATTGTAAGTGGTAGGAAGCCTTCCTTCTTGAGAAAGAATATATATGTAGTTATGAGTGTTTTAAAATTAAGTATCAACACATCAGTTAATTTTTAGTTTGATTCAAGATTATCTGTAAGCCTTTTATATCCATTTTGTGAATCCCCCCCCCCAACCAGGAGCTTTTCATAAATCCAGGGCTATGTAGAAAGAAATTATAGTGGCTATTTATGAAATGAATGTCTCTCTGATACTTGTCAAAGCATTGGTTGGATCCTATTCCTATAACTTTAAAACCTGGGTCATTTCTTCCTTGGTTCTCATATTTAAAGTCATTGCATTTCCATATTAATGGATGCCTAAACATCTTCTGTACCAGTCACTGCTTTATGTTATAAAGATTTTGTTAGGAGTTTCTGTGTATGAATGTATGTATGTATGTATGAATGCATTTTGTCTGTAGCATTCCACTTGTTTATAGAAATTGTATCTATTGCTATTAATGAATCGGCCTGATTAAATTTTTATTTTAAGTTGAATTAAAAATCTAGTCAGTCACTGCCAAAGACAAATATATGTCATTATTAGTTGAAAATGCAAGTGTACATGTATTCTTATGCCATCTTGTTAGATGTGTGCATATTTGATAAGATGCATCTTTTGGCATTCACCAAGTATTAGATTATCAAAACTGAATTTTTAAAAAAATTAAAAATTAGAGATTTTACATATGCAAATTATAAACATGACAGTTACTTGTTATTTAGCCTTTCAAATGGTGGTGTGATTATTAATTTTCTGATATTATTAAAATAGGACAAAATGTCCTGAGTGTTTATATGTGAACTGTATATATGTATATCAATTCTATATATGCTTAAAGCTACCCTTTAGCTCTATAGACTAAATAACTTTTTTTTTTATCTTTTAGGTTGTACTTCCAGGGGCTCCCCTCTCAGTCCCCAGTCCTCTATAGACAGTGAGCTGAGTACGTCAGAGTTGGAAGATGATTCCATCTCCATGGGATATAAATTACAAGATCTCACTGATGTTCAAATCATGGCTCGGCTACAGGAAGAAAGTATGTGCTTTCTAAACTAGAAAAGTGAGAATTCTATTTAAGATAAAAGGGAGTGGGCCAGGTTTTTCTCCTCAGGTGAGGAGCAAATAATTAGATGCTTTATTTTGTTCTGTCCTACTTTGTAAGTATGAGAGCTCTGGGAGCCTGATGGTAACGAGTTGCACTGCCAACCCAAAGGCACATGGTTCAAATCCAGGAGCTGCTCTGCGAGAGAAAGATGGATAGGCTCCTCCCATGGGAATTACAATCTCTGAAAGCTTATTGAAGGGTCAGCTATGAGTTAATTCTGACTGGAAAGTGATAACAGGACCACCTGCCACACTTTGTAAATGGAGTAGTCATCTCCTTCTCTTGCTCCAAGGAGCATCATAAAATATTGAGATTTGTTTCTGTGTACTGTCGAGTAGGGAACAACAACTGTCAAGTAGGAACCAATTCATAGCTGACCCTCCAGTGGGTTTTTAGAGGCAGTTAATTGCACAGGAGGAAATGCCCCATTTTCCTCGTGTGGAGCAGCTGATGGATTCGTACTGCATAACTTCAGGATTGCAGTGCAGCTTCTTGCTGCTTGGCCACCAGAGCTCCCTTCATCATTATGTATTGATCAAGTATTCATTGTAAAGTACTTCATCTTACAGTATTAGGATTTACGCTGATAAAAGTACACAGATATTTAGGCATTCTGAAAAACCATTTGGCTATTCAGGAGATGGAGAAAGGCCTAAAATTGCAACTCAGTGCTACCTAGCAAATTGTGCTCTTATCTTAGGACAAGAAAAATTTATGACATAGAAATCTATACATGAATGTTTTCAGCAGCTTGCTATTTGTAATTGCCAAAAACTGGAGCCAGTGTAGATGCCCTTATGGTGTGAATAGTAAACTGCAGGGCATCTATACTATCGGATGTTTATTCAACCTTTAAAGAAATAGAATATTGATAAAGGAAACAGCTTAGGTGAATCTCCACAAAATTATTCTTCAATAAAGTTAGATAATCTGGGAGTGAACCATTTCAAGGGCATCGGTTGTATCAGAAAGTACAATAAGTTATGGAACAGAAGCTGGCAGTGCGTGCTTTGGAGTTAGCTTTTCAGACCAGCATAATGAGTATCGATTAAATGGAATAATTTCCTGGCTTCTAGAATTAGTCAGGACCATCATGAGAAACACTGTAAGGCATAGATAGGTTTTATAAGGGGTTTTTTTGAGTGAAAAGTGACAATTTGATATCATTACTAACAGTAAGTTTAAATTGTCTTTCTAAATTATATGAAAAATGATGTCACTCTTAGAAATAAAATATCAATAGTTTTTAAAAAGTCAAGGATACAGACTACTTTAAAAAAAGTCATGATTTGGCAGTTGGGTGAACAGATAGGAAATTTCCAATTTTACCTGTTTTCAAACAATTGCCATATTTGTTGTTGTTTGGTGTCGTCAAGGTGAGTATGACATATAGTGACCCTACGAAGAACAGATCCAAACTCTGTTCTGCCCTGTGCCATGCTCATACTTCCTGACACATAAGAGCCCATTGCAGCACTGTGTCAATCCACCTAGTTGAGGGTTTTCCTCTCCTTTGCCTACCTTCCACCCTTCCCAGTGTCATGTCCTTCTCCAAGGAATAGCCAGCCCCTCCTAACAACATGTCCAAAATATATGTTGGATAAGAGCACTGAGCATTCCATGGATGGCCCAGAAAGCAAACAGAGTCTTGTGTTGCCATTTAGGAAGATGCAACTCATTAGAGACTGGAGTGTCAGCATCCTTTAACAGAGAGTGATAATAATACTAAAATGAATGAAAAAGAGAGATGGCTTTGCTAGAAAATACTTGTGAGCCAGGTTTTGAATTTGACGTTGAGAGTTGGAAAGACAGTGGGAAGCAGAAGGAATTCTGACTGGGGAAGATGTTTGATTACTTTAATTGTTCTTACTCATGTTGTTAGGTGGAGTTGAGTCTGTTCCACTCAGAGCGACCCTGTATACAATAGAATAAAACGTTGTCTCATCTTGCACCGGCCCCACAATCACCGCTCTGTTTGAGCCTATTGTTCCAGCCGCTGTGTCAGTCCATCTCCTTCAAGGCCTTTCTCTACTCGCAACTCATAGCAAGCAATGTATATTGATGATGAATAGTCTTTTAAAGTAGTTCTCTAGATTGATGGTGGTGGTTGAGTGCCATTGAGTTGGAACCAACCCATACCTGATCCTTCAGCAAGTTTTCAGAGTCAATTTAATCATATGGGAGGGCATTGCCCTGTCTTCTTCAGAACAGCTAGTGGATTCGAACCACGTGCTTTTGGGATTGCAGTGCAGCTTCTTATCACCAGGCCACCAGAGCTCCCTCTCCAGATTGGAGAGAAGGGTATTTAGGGAAATTGATAAATGCCTAGGAGTGAGGGTTATGAGAATTTGTTGCACAGTCCTGAGCCTTGTTATCAGGGTGGGTTAGTCCTTGCACATCATACTTGGTGTAAATGAAAGAGTCAATGAAAAAGAAGATCTTCAGTGAGATGGCAAGTACGACTCATAGTTACCCTGTGAACAGCAGATCTGAACTCTGTCCTGTCCTGTGCTGTCCTCATCATCTCTGACATGCTTGAGCCCATTGCTGCAATCACTGTGTCACTCTGTCTGGTTGAGGATCTTCCTCTCTTTTATCGACCCTCCACCTTTCCAAGCATGATGTCCCTCTCTAAGGAATAGCCTCTCCTAGCAATATACTCGGAATATATGTGATGAAGCTTTGTCGTCTTTCTCTCCAAAGAGCACTCTGGTTACATCTTCTCTAAGACATACCGGTTTGTTCTTTGGGCAGTTCATGAGCTATTCAGTATTCTTCTCCAACAGCACAGTTCAAAGGCATCAGTTCTTCTCTGTCATCCTTAATCATTGTCTGGCTCTCAGGTTCATAGCAAGTAACTGAAGGACCATAGCCTGACTCAGGTGCACCTTAGTCTTCAAACTGATGTAATTGCTCCTCAGTCCCTGACTGCAGACTTTCCCAGTTCACTGGGCCTCCTGATTAGAGTTGTCTAGACCTTTTTTTTTTGGTAGCAAGATGTGTTATGTTTTGTGTTGTGTTTTGGTTTTTTTTTTTCTGAAGAATTTCTCTGTTTGAATCATTCATGTGTACAAATTTTCCTTAAGTACTTGATTAATAAGAATTTCATTTTTGCTTGGTAGAAATATCTCACAAGAGAATACTACTGCTTATTGTTTATAGGTCTCAGGCAAGATTATGCTTCTACTTCAGCGTCTGTGTCAAGACATAGCTCCAGCGTGTCACTGAATTCAGGAAAAAAAGGGACGTGTAGTGATCAAGAGTATGATCGGTACAGTCTGGAGGATGAAGAGGAATTTGACCATCTGCCACCACCTCAGCCTCGTCTTCCAAGATGCTCACCTTTCCAAAGAGGAATTCCTCACTCACAGACTTTCTCTAGCATCCGGGAGTGTAGGAGGAGCCCCAGTTCCCAGTATTATCCTTCCAGCAGTTACCAGCAGCAGCAGCAGTATTACTCACCCCAAGCCCAAACTCCAGATCAGCAACCAAACAGGACAAATGCAGGTACGTTCCTTGCCTTTTGGGTATTCATTATGCTTTGATAAGTTTCCATGTTATCAAGAAATGGTTTTGGGGGTCAATATAATGATTGACAGGTACTTCACATACTTAATATGAGGACCTTAAGAATTTTGTCAGAATTTACCTCTGCAGTTCACCATTTTGATTTCATATCCTGGATTTACAGCTTCAAGGACACCATCAAGGTTGCTGACTCAACATGAATTACAAATGTGGAGCATCTTTATGGCATGTTAAACAGCTATAGGTTGTATAAGAAAATGCAGTCTGAGGAGGAGTTGATTTGATGGTGGAGCCCCACGGAATCAAAGGCTCTGTGTTACCTCTTTCCTCTCTTCCTGAAAAACAGTCTCTTCCTGCCTGCTCCTAATGTTAACATGAATGATAGTGCTGGGTGTGGATGCTGCTGGTACACATCTGGATTCACTGAAAGTTTAGGATAGACCTTCCCTTCTGATCTCCTGATATGTAGGATTAAGGGCTGTATGTTGTTGTTGGCTGTTGTTAAATCAGCCCTAATGGGTAGCGACACTGTGCACAGCAGGATCAGATGCTGTGATCAGAATTTTTATTGCCTGATTTTCTTTGGAAGGAAGTCTCCAGACCTTTCTTTCTATTTCATCTTAACCTAGAAGCTCTAGTGAAACCTGTTCAGCATTACAGCAGCATGGCAGCAGGCCTCCACTGGCCGACAGGTAGTGGCTGTGCTTGAGGACCATTGCCTGGGAATCAGACCCAACTCTTTCGTATGGCAGATGAGAATCCTGCCACTGAACCACAAGGTCCAAATGGCGGTATCTCAACAATGCAGCTCATTGTCACCAAGTTGGAACTGATTCATAGCTGACCCTGCAGTGGGCTTTTAGGAACTGTAAATTGCACAAGAGGAGATTGCACATCTTTCTTCCTCAAGCAGCTAGTGGATTTGAACTGCTTGCCTTTAGATCATCAGTGTAACTCTCTACTGACTAGACCATCAGAGCTGAGTGATAATGAATGAATTGATAGTTGACTTGTACTAGGAAGGTGATTTATAGTAATGTACATAGTTAACATGGGATATTGAAGTATTGGCATTCTTTTTCTCCTTTCTCATTGTTTATCTTTCTCTCCACTTCCGGATGTTAAATTCCAGAGAAAGAACAACATTAAATTTTATATTATAGTATATTGTATTGAAACAGATGAGGGAAAGAACAGATTAGAAGTGATATATGATTGAGTATTATGGTTAGCACAGAAATCCAGAATTAAGGTTGCAT